TAAGATTTTAACATGAATCTCTTGAGACTTTTTACATATATTTATACGGAATAAGATAAGCATTAAGAAAAAACATGTGAGCTTAGTTTACAAGACCTATTAGATCAGACCATGGCTTCATAAACTTTGGGTCGCGACCCCAAATGGGGATAAGGGAATTTATGGGGGTTAACTTTTATAACATTACGCCTTTTTTGTGTATTTTACAGCGAATTCTAAAACCATATATTTTCATATGTATCTAAAAAATAGATCATCTAAAATATTAATTTCTCTTTCTTTCGTATTTGTCGTCATGAAACACGCAATCATAAATGGGGTCGCGAATGACAAAAGTTTTAGAAGTCCTGGATTAGACCAATCAAGCATTTTTAGCCCCGTGGCCGTTTTTTTTTGGAGAAAGTGGCATCTTGTAATTTATTTTATAGTGTTATATAGAATGGATTTACAAATTATCAAAATTAAATCGATTCAGTATATTGTCTAAAATTGTGGCAGACGCTTTCATTCATATATGCATAACACTCATAGACCTTATTCTACATTGTAGTATAAAGTCTATGATAATACTACACATACATAAATCGAGAAATCTCATAATTAGTGAAAACAAGACCTAATATATTACAACAATTTTTGTAAAAATTAAGTATATTTTGTTATGTTAACATAACAAAATATACTTAATTTTTACCCAATTATTGTTATCGTGAAAGATATATATATTATATCAGTGATTTTGCTAATCAACGCTGTAAAATAATTGATATCGATAATTATCTTTTAATTGGTCTTATTAAATTTTCTGTTGTATGATAAATCATATAATTATATGATCAAATATTATGTACCTACTAATGTAATAATATCTTAAGATATTATTACATTAGTACATAATATTATGTACGAGATACCTAAGAAGAATAAAAGGCACTATCAATTTCATCAATTGATATTTTTAAAAACAATTACTCGGTTCGAACTTGTCATATTAATGTTTTAACTTTTAACTCAAAACACGTAGTCCATTTTAAAAGATTTTCGAAAACATTTAAAATGGCGGAAAATAAACATAGCATTTGCGAAAAAATCATGCAAATTTAAATAATTTATTATTTAAATCACTAAATTTAGTGATTATGATAAGAAACACTATATAATATTTGCATTTAGCTCTAATTTAAAATAGATTTCTAAACATATTATTTGAAACCAGTTTTGATATTTGTCAAAACCAGTTTTTGATTACTAAGACATCAAAACGATCATGACACAAATAAGTAGTTTCAAGTATGATTTATTACCTTAGGATCCTTTTCATAATAGTATTGCTGAGTTCGAATCCATCTCGAAACCAGATGATCCTTAACACAATGTGCCAATGCGAAATAATAATCTCTTTGTGTAGCAACATTTCTGTCTTTAACTAAAGTATAATGGAGATGTCTATTAAATGACTTCTTCACTTCTAGTACATTTTCCACTTGGGCTATTCCTGTCACACTGATCTGTCTTCGTTTTTCAATATCACTCTGAGGAGTGGTCATGATTGCAGTAATAATAAATTAAATTATCTAATTAATGGCTGAAGACAAGTAATCACATTATATTAAACACAAATAACTAAAAGAAAAGATTTGATTGTCGGGCTCAGAAACGTACGCGCAAGGAATGTAAACACAAGAACACTCTTCCTCAACGTGGGACCGACTGACAGAAACCACCTTGTCTGCCGGCCGAAGGTCAAACAATTCACGGAGTGACAACATGATAAACATTAAAATTAATAGATGTCTGATAGATGTCACCCTAGAAAATATAATAATAATTAATAACAATATAATAATGGATGTCACTAACCGTAATTAAAAATGTAATTTTTATAATAATGATGAACAACCTATTTGCTTCTTAATTTGAATTCCTATAATTAATTAATAGGATAAATTTGAATAATTCTGTTAATCATACAGATCCATTCTAAGATATATATTGTATGCACTTCAGACAGAAATGCAGAACCATGTTATATTGGAATATTGCAAAATATTATAATTATAATTATAAAATTGGTCGGTCTATAAATAAATAAGCATAAATGGGTCGGTCCATAGATAAAAGTGAATGAAAAATAATTATAAACGAGAAATCTATAGATTGGTTCTCACATTTTAGTTTTATTAAGATCCGTTAACGGATCTGTGAATAAGAATTCTTATATATTCCTAATTAAGAATAATTAATTAACAAATTTTTAAGAATATATAAAATTTGGTAAAATTTTAGTATAAAAAGTGGTAAAAAAAATTAAGAACCTTGATTCTTATTTAAGAATATATAAAATTTTGGTAAAAAAAAACATGTCGAAAATTAATTAGCATTGTAATTAACATAACAGAAATGTGGAACCATTTTAGATTGCAATATTGCAAAATATTATAATTATATAATATTCTATGATATTGGTCCATAGATAAAAGTTAATAAAAAATAATTATAAATGAGAAATCTAGATCAATCTAGATTTCTCGAGAACCAATTGGTTCTCACATTTTAGTTTAAATAGGATCCCTTCTTATATATTCTTAAGAATATATAAAATTTGGTAAAAAAAGTAAGGACCATTGTTTTTATTTAAGAATATGTGAAATTTTGGTAAAAATCATATTGAAAATTAATTGGCATACATAACAGAAATGCGGAACCATTTTATATTGCAATATTGCAGAACATTTATATTTATAATATTCTTCAATATTAGTCCATAGATAAAAGTGAATAAAAAATAATGGTAAACGAAAAATCTATAGGTTGACATTTTACTTTAAATAAGATCCGATCTTATATATTCTTAAAAGTATATGTAAAATTTTGGTATAAAGTTGATAAAAAAATAAGAACCATTGTTCTTATTTAAGAATATATAAAACTTTGGTAAAAATCATGTTGAAAATTAATTGGTATAATTTTCATAGAAAATCTTTCAATGTGATTTTCTTACACATTTAGTTTTTTTGTGTTCATTTACCATTGGTCTTCAAAAATACTAAAACTAATGCTAAATTACAGAATTGCATGTTTAAACTGTATTTTTTTTTTGTAATTGACTTCTATATCTGAATTTTCATATTGCAATTTAATCTATTTTTCAATAAAACTATTATTCTTTTATCTACGGAACCAATATTGCAGAATATTATAAAAATATATAAAATTTTGGTAAAAAAAACTTCTTGAAAATAAGTAAAATGTGATTTTCTTGCATGTTTAGTTTACCCTTTTTGTAACCACATTTACCATTGCAATTTTTTGTGTGCTCATTTATCATTGCATTAGATTTGTCTTCAAAAATACTAAAACTAATAATAAATTACTAAATTACTAAATTGCATGATTAAAACTTATTATTTTATGAATGACTGAAATCGAAAAGTTTTGAATCTGTTTTCTATCTGCATTCTTATATTACAATTGTATTTTCAATATAATGAGAGTGAGTTTTTCTTCATAATCTAAGATTCATGTGTGAAAATCTTGATACATTAATGTAATGATGAATGTAAGGATTAATTTCCCAATATTAATATCTATGAAGGATGGGTTAGCATTAATAATAAAATAACACGATTAATTATAAGCACGTTTTGAAAATTATTTAATAAATTGTATACAAAGCATAATACCTATGAATTTTAAATTTATAATGATAAATATTAATATCTATTATTTTCATTTATATGCTTCATTACACCTTATCAAAGATAAATAACCTTTGTTTCAATCAATGAATTAATGAGTTAATTTACATGTTAACATATTTATGAAATTAAATCATGTTTAAAACTGAAGCTTCAAAGTTAATGAATATTTGCTTTTATACAAAAGTTGTACAAATGTTTAATCGATATAATACTAACTCATTAAGTCAAATTGATCAGCTCTAAATGTTATTATGAATTACTTATTAGTTACATGCAAAAAGTTATTAAATAGTATTGAGTGACAGTGATGTTTATGTAAGTTCTCCAACTCAACAATCACAAGTCACTCTGCAATAGTACGGGGATATTAGCTTTATGGTTACTACCGATTAATTTATTATGTTTTGATCAATAATCAGTTTCACCATTTATATTAACTATCTATAAATAAATATATTTGCAACTAAAACATCCCAAAACCGATGTAAGTGCTTCTATGAAAGTTATAAATTACTCACATGTACCCTAATATATTTCATTTCTTAATCTATGTGATAATAAATTTATTCTGCAAGTGAATGCAAATTAAATTTCATTTTCTTTTAATAGATAATAAATCAGTGATTGTGTAAAACATTGACAAGGTGCCATATATTAAATATGCAACTATTATAAATCTATTACTAATTATAACGTTATTTAGAAGTTTTAAAGAAGCTCAAACAACACATAGAATTTGTGAATTGCTATTAAAATAATAAACATACAAATCACAATTCAAAATTTATCGAAAAGGCAGCAAATAATAGAAGCACCAAAAACACACCACAGATCAAAGTTTCAATATTGAAACTTAGTTTTTACGTTAAATATATTTTACAACTTTGACATGAATTATGATGAATGAATTTAGTTTGTAATGAAAATAAAACTACAAAAATATAAACTACTATATAGATATTTAATGATAACTTGTATTGATGACGATAAGGTAAAATTCATAACATTACTTTTAACAATACATTATTTTAATATATTATTCTTAATGACAAGGGATGAGAAATTGCATACTAATTTAAAAATAAAATTTACGACAATTACAACCAAACAAATTTTGAAATAGAAACTAATACTAAAAAGTAATATTTACAAAACTTTAACATATTTCTTAAAACAATGTATAATAAATATTATATATGAGTACATATTTTATGTAATAAATGAATTTTTTTTTATAAGATACCTATTTTTAGTGTCAAATGTAAATATTTAAAATAAAAAGGCTTTCTATAAATCTATCGTAATTGGTTCATCATGAAAAAAAATTGATTCCATATATACTACAAATCAATTCGATTTGCAATATTCACATATAGCTTTCGATATGTCCAAACAATCGAACATATATAATATATATTTCATATTTAGTTGATTTAATTATTGTTAAAAAGGGTGTGGTTATGTTTGAAGAGTTATGTATATCGCTATACAATTAAATATCCACATTATTATATAAATATAATTTTTTGTGCTTATTTATCTTTATCACTTTCAGCTTTCTTTCCAATTGGTACAGCTGCTTTTACCCTAGAATTAAAATATAAAATCAGATACATAGAAAACTTATGTATTTTGAAGTTTTGAATAGAAAAATTTTGTAAGACTTACTTGGAAGTAATTTCTTGTAACTTGCTTCGAACGACATCGAGATTGGCATCGATTTGTGTTTTGTTAGTTTCATAAACTTTGGGCAGAGTGAAGAGCGCAACAAATGCTAAAACAAAAAATTAATGAAATATCGTCATTTACAATAATGGTAAGACAAATGAGTTTTCTAGCTAAATTGACAAGATTTATTTAATTATTGAAAATATGAATTCATGAAAATTATATAGTACACTGGGGCCTCGCTTTACGGCCTAGATACGTTCCGCAAAACTTGGCCGTAAAGCGAAAAGCCGTATAACGAATCAATTATTCTAATACGTATTCATACAAATTCAATGGGATCGGTTCCAAATTCAATAAATATATAATATGGTTTATCATTCAAAATGCATTTTATTTTTTTATTTTGTTTAAATTAAACAAAAAATTAATAAAATAAAAAACTTCAAAAACATTCTATAATTTTTAAATAAAAATGAAACAACTAAAACCCACAGATCACTGTCACCATCATTTTGCGCTGGTGGTTTGAAAAATTTGTCTAAAGTTGTTTGTCTTGCCTTCTTGTCTATTTCTTCCTTTAGTGATTTATAACAGCTAATGGCTGAGTTAATTCCTCGAGAGACATTAGCGCTACGTTCGACGTCAGGATCGTTTTCAAGGAGGATGTTTATTCCTTGTTCAAAATATGAAAAAGCGCTCTACATGATTTTTGATGTTAGCTGTTTGGATACAACGGGTTCTGTATCTTCATCAATTGCCGGCTCTGCTTGCAACTGAATGAGTTCCTCATATGAAAGGGGTTTCCTATCAGCTGCAAGTAGATCCAGCACATCAGATTCGTTTAAATCTTCAAAACCGAGATAATGTGCTGAATCCAAAATGTTTTGTCTAACTTCAGGAAGGAAATTAACTTCTGCATCGGTAGTTTTTATGCATTCTGGCCATATTTTTTTTTCCAAACATGGTTCATTGTTGTCGATTTCAATTTCTTCCAGGACTCACTAATGTTGTTAACAGCATCCTTGATATTATAGTTTTTCCAAAACGTTTGAAACTTTGAAACGTAAAGATATATAAAAATTTTCATTTTTGATTTTTTGCGATTACTGTAACTTGCCCTACGAGAAGTTAAAAAAGCCGTTATAGCAAAACATTTTAGGCCGTATATCGAAAACGTTCCTTAATTAAAGAGGGCCGTTATAGCGAAAGGCCGTATAAAGAGCGGCCGTATAGCGAGGCCTGGGTGTACAAGTTATTTATCACATTTGTGACCCATGTTAATACATATATGCCAAGTTTAAAAAGCTTTCATACCAATAATGATTAAAGTCATTCCGTTGAACCAAGCACCCAAATATGTGAGGCACCAAAGAAGAACAATGAATTTAGTTGAGTCGACCAAATCTTCAACCAGGAAGAGACGACGAAGCTCAGATACTGCAGCGTTCAGGTGGGTGACGGCAACTGTGGCAACCTGTTGGGCTTTTTCTTGGGACACACTGACATCTGTTTCCAACAGCTCCCTGTAAATAGGAAAACATCAATATTAAGTAACAAGTAAGGGTTATTACAATTAATAACCAAGTAATAGCAACTATTTTTAAGGTAAATCATTATTTTATGCCATTGATTCCACAGGTCAACATAAGAAAAGTTGTCTGTATTGAGTGTGCGGTAGGTATGTTTTCCAATTTAGTTATTAATTTACGATCTAGATTTACGAGATCGGAGATTTTGTCATTTTTTAAAAAAAAATTTTAATTTATTGCCATTTGACACCCAATTTTGACTTCAGATTCGTGCTCAGCTGTAAAAAGTGCAATGAAAAACATATGCCGCACAGCCAGCGTGCAGTAAACGGAGAGGAAAAAAGGGTATAACCTCTGAATTTTTTTACTGTGCTCCGAATTGAATGAAATTTTGGAATTAGGATCATTTTACCCTCAAGTTCAAAAGTGAAAACAATTCGGGTTGCGCCATCACCCCCCGGGGGGCTGACACCCCTTCTAAATTGTGCAATTACATTTTTTCAAAATAACGTCGGAAATCGATAGAAGAACTAATTATAAGAAAAAAATGTCTTATATAGTTTTTCAGAAAAACTAATACTTTTCAAGTTACTGGCCACTGAAGATTCATATATTTTTGGCGTTTTTCTTCGTTTTTTTGCAAATATCTGCTAAAATATACGTTTTAACGAAAATCATGTAATGAACAAAATAATATCAATAAAAATCTTAATAAATCGGTATTACATAAAGTGTTCTAGGAAAAATATTAAGCAAGATTTGAAGGAGCAAAGTCGTTTTTTATTTCGTTCAAGATTTAATTGTTGTATTTAAAGCCATCTAGTGTCGAGGTTTTACATTTTATGCATTTCGGTGAAATTGGGTTTTATAGTACTCAACATTAGCTTTAAAATGATTGCTGTTACAAGTTTTTTGCGTGTAAAATGAATGAGCTATCATGCAAATAAGAAGCATATACGAAGTTTTTTTCTTTTAAATCATATGGTTTAATGAGCGACATTTCCACCAGAATTAAAGTTATTCATATTCCATCTAGAATTGACTTCATTATAGACATCTTGATGGATTCTAGCAGATTCACTACTTTAGTACAAACTATTTTCAAAAAACTCACAATTTTATAAAAACTTTTTTTTCCAATTTTTTTAAAAATCGAAATTATTTTCATTATATCTCAAAAAGAATAAAAGATACGTATAAAAGCATATAGATAAAAATCAAGGGAATCTTTCTGGCTTATTATTGTTTCTTATTATTTTTCTTTCACACAAAAATTGACAGAGTTATGAATGTTTAAAGACTGCGCGGCCGCGCAAATTGGAAAATAAAGTTTTTATAAAATCGTGAGTTTTCTGAAAATAGTTTGTAATAAAGTAGTGAATCTGCTAGAATCCATCAAGATGTCTATAATGAAGTCAATTCTAGATGGAAAGTGAATTACTTTAATTCTGGTGGAAATGGCGCTCATTAAACCATATGATTTAAAAGAAAAAAACTTCGTATATGCTTCTTATTTGCATGATAGCTCATTAATTTTACACGCAAAAAACTTGTAACAGCACTCATTTTAAAGCTAATGTTGAGTACTATAAAACCCAATTTCACCGAAATGCATAAAATGTAAAACCTCGACACTAGATGGCCTTAAATACAACAATTAAATCTTGAACGAAATAAAAAACGACTTTGCTCTTTCAAATCTTGCTTAATATTTTTCCTAGAACACTTTATGTAATACCGATTTATTAAGATTTTTATTGATATTATTTTGTTCATTACATGATTTTCGTTAAAACGTATATTTTAGCAGATATTTGCAAAAAAACGAAGAAAAACGCCAAAAATATATGAATCTTCAGTGGCCAGTAACTTGAAAAGTATTAGTTTTTCTGAAAAACTATATAAGACATTTTTTTCTTATAATTAGTTCTTCTATCGACTTCCGACGTTATTTTGAAAAAATGTAATTACACAATTTAGAAGGAGTGTCACCCCCCCGGGAGGTGATGGCGCAACCCGAATTGTTTTCACTTTTAAACTTGAAAGTAAGATGATCATAATTCCAAAATTTCATTCAATTTGGAGCACAGTAAAAAAATTCAGACCTAAAACGCTCCGTTTACTGCACTATATGCAACATTATTTTGTTGACCTTATTGAACTAATAAATTAAGGGCTCGTTAATCGTTCAATGAGTAGGTACTTAATACGATTTTAACAACTTGTATGAATATAATTATGTGAAATTTCTATAAAAGCATATATCACGAGCAAGGATCAGCAATCCGCGCCCCGCTAAAATAGAATTTTATTTATTTTAACAACTCGCTCCCACCATAATATAATGTATTCTTTTCTTGTTGCATTCCTTATGAAATATCTACTTATTTAATTTTTTATTCATATGTTATGTTTATTAGTATATATTAAGAATTGTAAATTATTAATAAGTGCGGTCGCCACAAAATTTTGCAATATAGTGCAGCCAGTAAGACAAATAGGTTGCTCATTCATAATTTAGAGATTTTTCAGGATTAGATTTTTATAAAATCTTGCTTAACATAAAATTTAATGGCTGTAACATGTGTATATTGAAATTTGTGGAATTCTTGATTTTTGAATTTAAATACGCCCCATGAGTTAAAAAGTTTGCTTACACTTTATTTAAAGCTTTTACAGGATAAGACTTTTATGAAATCTTGCTTACTATAAAATTTAATGGCTGAAATATGTGTAAATCGAAGTTGTGGACTTCTCGACTTTCGTTTTATAATTATTTTTCAATTTATTGTTAATCTTTTAACAAGCACTTTTAAATTAAAAACGGAAATACAAAATGAATTCTTTAGATATGGGATTTTAAATTCAAAGGGATTAGAAAATTGGGGTTTTCAATCTAAGAACAAGGCGAATTAAGAAAAAAAGAACACCTATGAAATATATAGATACATAAAACATGCTGAAACTAAAACTCTTTGACTGTTCTTAATTTTCAATTTTTTCTGTATTTCTAAAACATTTAAAAACATATAATTTTAAAACATTTATTAACGTATAAAAATTGATAGAAAAATTCATGTTTCCCTTTTTAAGCCCATTCAAAAATCCACGACCAACTCATGCTTAAAATAGACAAAAATGAATAAAATTTCTAATTAATAATTATAAGAACAACCATATTTTTACAGAAACTTATATCAATTTCTCACAAAATAGATCATACCTACTATTGTAATAACAAATGAAATCAGGATTGTATAAAATCTAAAATATATTTTTGTATCAAAATTTCAACTCTTTTAGTTGAAACTTTTTTAAACTCGATTAAGAATTTTTTGCTACTACCTGGAATTGATTCATTTAATTTTGAGCGTATGCCGAATTATGATGGTTATCACGTTTTTGTTGAGAAATAAAAGCATTTAAATCACAGGTTTAGCTTTGAACACCTGCTCAAATATTTACTATCGTTTATATTCATATATAAATATTACAATACTTATAATTCATGATAATAAAACTTACTTGAAAGGATGGCCATCAGACGTCTTCTGAACAGCTTGCAATACGTTGCGATAGATACGGAAGGCCATGCAGCCGCAGACGGCTGTGAGGGAAGCGTACGCCAACACGCTGATTAGGGAGAAGCATGATAACGCCAGCAGCAGGGCGAGGGACACGCCGAATACGATGCCAGACTTACGCGGACAACGCCAGTAAATCAGCGATTCCACTGTAAAAGAAAGATCAGGGTCAGAATATATAAGGATTAGACAACTAAATTCTAAATTATATCCAATTACATTATATTTTATATATGTATATGTAAATATTCATGAGTGTGTTAAGTTGATATTCTAGGGTATCGTTCAAGTATTACGTAAGCAGACTTATTACAATTATTTACCCCCCCCCCTCCCCTTAGTCAGCAAAAGTAAGCAAAATTCTTACTGAAAATGCCCAAAATAAGCAAATCAATAACCCCCCCGCCCCCCTATTAAAAAACTAGTGGGGTGCATGGCATCGTGCCATAAGGCCAAAATTGCTGGAACTTCCCGTACCGTAATTAAAAATCTTGGTACGGAATCCAAAAAGATTTACACAAAATATGTACACATTATTAAAAACTCTATAAAATATCTGATAATTTGATGTACAGATGTCCAATTAACATTTTTGACCGCCAAATGACATTTTTTTAACTTATTTTTATTGAGAGTCCATAACCGCTGGACCTGCTTTCCCAAAAATTTAATCAGTTCGTCATCCTGTCAATACAAGTAAAGTGTTTTTTGAATTATTAAAATCAGACGCTCCATTCTCTTAGTTACCGTTTTTGGCACTTTTTACCCCGTATCTTCGGAACGGCTAGACCTGCCTTCGCCAAAAACTAATCAGCACGTCTCCTTATCAATACGAGTCGAATGATTTTTGAATTATTCAATACGGTTGATCTGTGTTCCCGAAATCGTCGATGAAAATTTGTATCCGCACACACACATACAAACACATACACAAACATACACATACATCCATTTTTTCTAATTCTAAGGTATGCCAAAATATTCAAAAACCTTTGAAACGTAAAGATATATAAAAATTTTCATTTTTTTGTGATTACTATAACTTACCACCCTACGCGAAGTTAAAGTTTTTTTTATATTTTATAAGTTTAACTATTCAAAAATGTGTATAATTTTTTTTTAATTTAAATTATTTTCGGAAATATAGCTGTTTGATCACGATGATCCTTTTTATGTTTCCCTCTCCTAGGAAACATTAAACACGCTTTTCTCTAAATTGTCTTTTTTAATACAATACCCACAACTTATACTGAACCGATTTTTGTTTAAACTTTTACGGATTATGATGCATCAAAAATAGAATAAATTTTTACTATGTTTCAAAAATTCGAGAATATCAAGAAAAGTTTAATTTATTTTTTCGAAACACTTGTTCGTAGTTCATACGAATGTGATATTTTTGTAGATTATAGTGTATTTTTGTAGACTATTTTTTAACGGAATTATTTGGAGAGTTAAAATCGGAAGTATGGTCAAATGCAATTTTTTTTAGACCCCCAAACTCCATCACCTTCTAAAATTATTATTTTTCTGAATTTTTTATATTCAATTTTTTTTCTGAATTCTTAAAACATTAATTAATAACTTATAAAAAAATGGATAGTAAAAATATTGGTTTCCTTCTTTCTTTTTGAAAATTTTAAATATTATATTAACATTAAATGAAATGAAACACTAGGCTTCACACATTGGAGTGAACTCTAGTTAATTATCCCTTTTTTTTCTTTTTTTGTTCTTTTTCTTTATTATTATTATTTTTATTTATTTATTTATTTATATATTATTATCATTTTTTTTTCGATTCCTTTGTATCACTGTAGCTTATAAGATTAAATTATATCTTGATTGCTATTAATAAATAAATAAAAAAAAATAAAAAAAAGAATTATATAAGGTACAATAATAGCACTAAAATTCATAATTTGCATGTGTCGTTACGACTGTTAGTAATGGAGTAACCAATCCATCGAAGGCAAATTCGGACCTTATTATTAATAATCATTATGAATTATTTCACATGTTATCCGAAATTTGTTCTGGTTGAATATTGAAGAAATATTTCAATGCTTCAGGTCATTTTGATTGCAAGCCAATACGAGTTTTATTAATTAATTTTACTTTTACGTGCTGAATTATTACTAAAACAACTTCGGCTCAGAAAACCAGGTTTTGAGAAGATCCGGAACAATTCTCTCTATTTTTCAAATTTTAAATTATAAAATAAAGTAGCAATATATGTAATAAAATTGAAGAAAAATATCCTCAATGCCTCATTTGCATTCGGAAATACAGTATTTATTACTGAAACTCTGTTATAATTTTCTTATCTTATCAAACATGGATTATAATTTTATCAATGTTACTATGAACTAGAGATGGGCTTATCATATCCAAAGCCGGATCGACTCGGATTTGACTCCGCTTCAGGGAGGAGTTATATCCGCTTAACAACTCCACGACTCCGACAACTTTCAAACCTAAAAGGTCATAAAACTGCCTGTGAGACGAGAAAGCGACAGCTTCCTCCCCAAAGCAAAAACGCAGTAACAGATTTAGTACCAGTTTAGGGAAATCGGATATGACAAATCCGGTGAGACAACTCCACTCCGATTCACTCCGAGGGAGGAGTTGTATCGGAGTGATAACTCCGGAGTGAGTTACCCATCTCTACTATGAACATAGTAAAGTTAACCATTGTTAGACGTGGCTAGTCAGTAATTCCTTCGATAACATCGATCGTTTATCGTTCATTGCGTGGTACCTCTATTTATAGAAGAAATTATATTCATAACACATATTCTTTGAAGTGACTAATAAATTAGTATTCATTACTAGATTGGGGATGTGGGCAGCATTCTTCGTGACCATACAAATACGTCATCGATCAAAATAAATTTAACTATTGAATAAACTAAAAATGATTTAATAGAAAATTGTATAAGGTCTATGATTTATATGCACGATGAATGCACTGTTAGTTACTCATAAAATGAAATTGCATTAAATAAATAGTGGTGCATGGCAGAAGTAAGGCAAATTGATGAAACTTTCTATGCCAAATATTAAAATTAAAAAAAAGCACTAAGATTTTTTGAAAATTGAACAAAATAAATTAGAAATTCTGAGTTTTTAAAGATCTCCTTTAAATTTAAAAATTCCTTTTTGAAAAACATTTTTTTAATATTTTGAAATTATTTTGAAAAAAAAATCTTTTGATCGTGCTGGGTTAGCTTTGTGGAGACAAAATATCAAACAAAATTTGTACTTACTATTAAAATCTCTATAAAATATCCGGTATATAATGTGCATATGTCTAATGATAATATTTGACCGCCATATTTTTTTACTTTTTTTATTGATCGCCTAAACCGCTAGAATTGCTTTCCCAAAAATGTAATCAGTTAATTTGGTCAATACAAATAAAATGTTATATGAATCATTCAAATCGTACGCTCTGTTCTTTGAAACGTAAAGGTATATAAAAAATTTCATTTTCGATTATTTTGCGATTACTATAACTTACCATGCGGAAAGTTAAAAATAATCAAACGTGAATTTCAGAATTAAACTGAAGAAATTGCCTCCAATAACTTGTTTCTTTTATTTCAAATTTATTTAAGAGCCATAGAAACAATATTTATTCACTTTAATATAAAGAGAATAAAAAAAATCATAAAAATGCGTAAACCATTTCCTTTTTTTCCCATTGCCAAATGCAGATAATGAAATTGGCTCAACAATATTTCAAATATTGTTATTTTTCAAATACTCTCGAAATAATGTAGACACATTGAATTTTACAGAAAACCAAAATACACTTGGCAAGATAACAGCTTTTCATGCCGCCAACAACTCGTATAAATTTGGATTATTAAAAAAATAAAAATGAACAGAAATATTGCAAAGTGCGCAATTTTTCAGTAAAAAGAAATGATTTTATTCCTGACTCGGCGAAAACATTGACGATGCATCAAAATAATTCTGTCACTAACGAAGGCCACGTAAACGCATATTAGTATAAATGCTACTGAATCAGCAACGGAGAGATACGGAGAGAGGTTATGACTTGTGTACATATCACACACATATCAGAAATGCGCATTTGTAAAATCTGCAAAATACATTTTGAAGAACGTTTCATTCCATAATTAATTTTCAATCATGAAGCATTTATAATGAATGAAAATCAAATGCTAATAATACAAAAAGAACTGGTAAAAACGCATCTCAAAATGTTTCTAGAGATTAACCTTACGAAAGTCTTCAATTATAACACTATACAATTGAAAACATTCATTCAGAGAGACGCGCGCTAGAGTTATGAACCTTAGGAGCATTCAATTACTTTTACTGAATTCTCATAATTGGGCTTGCTCGTAGGTAAGTGGCCAGAACAAATGGACCTGAATCAGAGGTCTGGGGTTCGATCCCGCATCAGTCTGATGTCATGCAGTAGTGACAACGGTTTTCACTTGGAAATATATTGGAATATATTTATAGATAGCTCTAATCCGGCGTTGTAACATCAATAAATTCATCAATCGTCAGAGAGGTAGGACAACTGTTTGGATTGCCATCTGTAGAAGCTATTAGTATTAATATAGTATTAATTATATTAATACTAGCACAACAGCTTATAGGACTCTCAAGTTCTGATTGCTGTTCAAAAAATTATTTCTAAAAATCTGTTAACAGTTAATATATGATAAAGCTCAATTTTGGTAGAATTTTTACACATTCACAGAAACTAACTAATATGTTGTTATAGCATTGTGCTTCAAATCTAATTGTTACCACTTTTCAATAACTGAATCGAAGAACTGATTAAATTTTTGGAAAATCAGGTCCAGCGGTTTTTCAATAAACATTTCATAAATAGGTAGAAAAATAACCCACTTTAGAGAAAAAGATTTCTTTGAAAATTAGTCCACTTATTTTTTTCGTTTAGAATGTTTAAACATAAATAGTAAAATATCAAATTATCTTTAGCAACAATTCCAAAGGCTCAAAAAGATAGACCGCGTTGAAGATTTTGTGTACCTCATCCTAGATTGTAAAAAGAATAATGCAAACTCTGCCAAACCGAACAAACTTTCATATACATTAGTACAAATCACTAAAGTAGAGAAAAAGTCAAAACTTATTGAAT